GTGCATATGATCCTTTTGAATAGACGGTCCAAAAAGGCACTAGTTTAGCAATTAGACTATATTTTCTTTTAAGAAAAAAATTGTATATGTAGTCCCAATTTTAAAGACCAATTTTAAAGAAAATATCAATCACGTCCCTAACCAATATTTTGTTTTATATTGGATTATTAGCAGAAAACTCAATTAGAAACGTTTCCATTTGTGATATACTCCATACCTATTGGAAATCGCAGAAAATCCCCATATTTGAAACCTTTTGTACGAAAAAACCCCTACCGTCAAATTTGCCATTAAAAAAGTAAAAAGTTCAAAATTTAAAAAGTAATAATTGCAATTTTAGTATCTTAACTTTTTATTATTTCACAAATTATATCCAAATTTTTTTTATGTACCACCCACAATCTCAAACCTTTAAAATTTTATTTTGCACCCCCCAAAACTTTATTATTTTATTTAATCCATTCTAAAACCCTCCTAAATCCTTGACCCCAAATTCCTCATTTCTTCTTCTCATTCCCAAGATAGGTCCTTACACGCAACAGTGCTTCACACAAGCATGATAGACAGTTGTATCCATCGAAGATGAAGGGAACATGAGATGTAGTTAAAATAATGTATGTATACTTAAGTGCTTGTAAAAAAAGGTTTGAAGGTTGGTTGTAAGCTTATGATAAAACAGGATAGATGTTTTCTGAAGAGTGCACATGGGGGTCAATTATTGGCTGCAGTGGAGATTGATGGTGATAATTGTATGTTCCCAATTGCTTGAGCAGTTGTGGATGCAGAAAATAGAGCCAATTGAACATGATTCATAGAACTTTTGGTATTTGACATAGGAATGTGTAATAGTAGGGCTTGATCTTTTATTTCCGACAATAAAAAAAGATTGGTTGAATCCCTGAATCAGTACTGTGAAAGTACAGAGCACATGTGTTGTGCTAGACATTTGTATAGCAATTTCACTCTCAAACATAAATACCTAACTTTAAAGAGTTTGTTCTACGCTACAGCCCAGTCTACTACTGTATCAAAGTGGAATGCAGTTATGAATAAGGTGAAGACGGTGAAAAGCCAGCAGCTCAATGGAAAAAATCATATTTTCAGGAACATGCTAAGTGCGATATTTTGTTGAATAACCTCCGTGAAGCCTTTAATACCTCCATTGTAGTAGCTAGAGAGAAGGCTATAATCACGATGTTGGATAAGATTAGAGGTGTCAATTCGGGTGG